AATATTCCACTGTATATGTAGGGTGTCCCCCCAAAATGTATACACACTTTAACAGCTGATAGCTCAATTGATGTTTCTTTTCAGATTTAACCATTGGAATTAATAATTATTCAAAGAGTGCATACATTTTCTGATACAACCTGTATACACTTCTTTTAAAAAATATTTTTTTAATTGATTTCAGAGAGGAAGGAAGAGGGAAAGGTAGAAACATCAATGATGAGAGAGAGTCATTGATCAGCTGCCTCCTGCACATCCCACACTGGAGATCAAGCCCGAAACCTGGGCATATGCCCTGACTGGGAATCCAGCTGTGACCTCCTGGTTCATAGGTCAACCACTGAGCCACACTGGCTGGGCTACTTTTTTTATCCATTCCCCTATGAATGAACACCTAGGTTGTTTCTATATCTTGGTTATTGTAAATAATGATGAAATAAACATAGAGGTGCGTATGCCTTTTCAAATTGGTATTTGGTTTTTTTGGGTAAATACCCAGAAGTGGGATTGCTGGGTCATATGGAAACTCTATTTTTAATTATTTGAGGAACCTCCATACTATTTTCCACAGTGGCTGCGCCAATCTGCAGTTTCACCAACAGGCACAGGGTCCCCTTTCTCCACATCCTCACCAACACTTACTCTTTGTATCTTTTTTATAATAGCCATTGTGATAGATGTGAGGTGATATATCTCATTGTGGCTTTAATTTACATTTCTCTGATGATTAGTGACATTGAACTTCTTCATGTCCGTTAGCCATGTGTACATCCTCTCTGGAGAAATGTCTATTTAGGTCTTCTGCCCATCTTTTAACTGGATTGTTTTTTCTGGTGTTAGTTGCATAGATTCCTTATATATTTGTTTTGTCTTGTTTTTGTTTCTTTTTCTGTTTATTTTCCCTTATATATTTTGGGATATCAGTACCTTATCAGATATATCATTGGTGAATACCTTTTCACCTTCAATAGGTTGTATTTTCATTTTGTGGTTTTCTTCAGTGTGCAAAAACTTTAGTTTGCTGTAGTTCCTTTTGTTTTCCTTGTCCAAGGAGACATACCCAAGGATTGCTTAGGCCCTGGCCGACGTGCTCAGTGGTTAGAGCATCAGCCTGCCCACTGAAGTGTCTGATTTGATTCCCGCTCAAGGGCACATACCTGGATTATGGGTTCACTTCCCACCCCTGGTTGGAGCATGTATAGGAGGCAACCAATTGATGTGTTTCTCTCAGATCAGTGTTTCTCTCTCCCTCTTCCTCCTTCCCTCCCTCCCTCCTTTCCACTCTCTCCCTGAAAAGTAATGGAAAAAATGTCCTCAGGCCCAGCCGTCGTGGCTCAGTGGTTGAGCACTGACTCATAAATCAAGAGGTCACAAGCTCGATTTTCCGTCAAGGGCACATGCTCTGGTTGTGGCCTTGGTCCCCAGTAGGGGGCGAGCAGGAAGCAGCCAATCTATGTTTCTCTCTCATTGCTGTTTCTATCCTTTTCCCTTCCTCTCTCCCTAAAATCAATAAAAAACATTTAAAATTAAATAAATAAATAAAATATTTAAAAAGAAAAAATATCCTTGGGTGAGAATTAACAACAAAAGATTGCTAAGACCCATGTCAAAGAGTTTACTGTTTTCCTCTAGTAATTTTTTGGTTTCAGGTCTTACGTTTAAGTCTTTAATCTGTTTTGAGTTCATTTTTGGATATACTGTAAGATAGTGATCCAATTTTTTTTAAAATTTATTATTTAAATCCTCACCTGAGGATATTTTTCCATGATTTTTAGAGAGAGTAGAAGAGAGAGGAAAAGACAGAGAAAAATCGATGTGAGAGGAACACATTGATTGGTTGCCTCCTGCATGTGCCTGACCAGGGTCTGGCCGGGGGAGAAGTCTGCAACCAAGGTACGTGCCCTTGACCAGAATTGAACTCAGGACCCTTTGGTCCGCAGGCTGACACTTTATCCACTGAGCCAACGGGCCAGGGCAGAAAGTGATCCAAATTTAATTTTTTTCCATTTATCTGCCCATTTTTCTCAATACCACCTATTGAAGAACCTGTCTTTATCCCATTGTATATCCCTTTTCTTCTTTATCCTACATTAATTGGTCATATAAGCAAGGATTTCTCGGCTCTCTATTCTCTTCCATTGATCTACTAGTATATGACTGTTTTTATGCCACTACCATGCTATTTTTAAAAAAATTAAATGTATTGGGGTAACATTGGTTAACATAATTACATAAATTTCAGGTGAACAACTTTATTATATACATCTATCCTAGAGGCCTAGTGCACGAATTTGTGCACCAGTGGGGTCCCTTGGCCTGGCCTGTGGGATCGGGCTGAAACCAGCTCTTCAACATCCCCTGGGGGTCCCAAATTGCGAGAGGGCATAGGCCAGGCCAAGGGACCCCACTGGTGTACGATCAGGTCCCTAACACGGGAGGTTAGCCAGCCGGGAAGGGACAACAGGAGGGCTCCAGGGCATGTCCGGCCCATCTCACTCAGTCCTAATTGGCCAGACCCCAGCAGCAAGCTAACCTACCGGTCTGAGTGTCTGCCCCCTGGTGGTCAATGCATGTCATAGCAGCTGGTTGACTGCCCCCTAGTGGTCAGTGCACATCATAGCAAGTGGTTGAGCTTCCTTAGCATATCATTAGCATGTTATGCTTTGAACAGATGACAGGTCACTTAGCATATTAGGCTTTTATTATATAGTCTATTGTGTGCTCACCACCTGAAGCCTAGTCTACCACCACCACCATATATTTTACCCTCTTTGTCCTCCCGACCTCTTCTCTTTTGGTAACCACCTTCCTGTTGTCTGTATCAATTACTTTGTTTTATTTGTTCATGTGTTGCTTTTTATTTTATATCCAACATGAATAAAATCATATGGTTCTTATCCTTTTCCATCTGACATATCTCACTTAGCAAGATACTCTTAAGATCCATTCATGTTGTTGCAAATGGCCATACTTCATCCTTTTTATGGCCGAGTATTCCATACCACCTCTTTATCCAGTCACCCATCAAAGGACACTTAGGCCACAGTCAACATAGGGATACATATATTCTCATGACTAAATGCTTTCAAAATGTTTGGGTAGCCTTAGCTGGTTTGGCTCAGTGGATAGAGCATTGGCCTGCAGACTGAAAGGTCCCGGGTTCTATTCTGGTCAAGGGCACATGCCCAGGTTGTGGGCTCGATCCCCAGTGTGGAGGCATGCAATGATTCTCATCATTGTTTCTATTTCTCTCTCCCTCTCCCTTCCTCTCTGATTAAAAAAAAAATTTTCTTAAGTTATAAAAAAATTTGGGGGGGGTAAATACCTGGAAGGATTGCTGGATCATGTGGTAGCTCTATTCTTTTTGAAAAATAGGTATTTTTATTGCTTTCATAGAGGAAGGGAGAGGGAGAGAGAAAAATGTCAATGATTGGCCACCTTCTGCACACCCCACACTGGGGAACTAGCCCCACCCTGGGCATGTGCCCTGTCCGGGAATCAAACCATGACCTCCTGGTCCGTAGGTCTACAACCACTGAGCCATGCGGCTGGATGTCTTTCATCCTTAGGATAGTGAGGTTGTGAGGTTTTCTGTCTAAGAGCACACGGTATGTTCATGTTCCCTTTAGTGCCTTTCAGGAGCATTCTCCAGTTTTCCTTATATAGGTTTGGACATGGTTTATTACCTTCAGGCCACATTTGTTTGTGTAACTCTTTAAGCTGGTGTAAATGGGATCTTCTCATCCATTATATTTTCTTTTTCTTTTTTTTTAATTAGAGAGGGAGAAAGAGAAACATTGATTTGTTGTTCACTTATTTATGCATTCATTGGTTGATTCTTGTATGTGCCCTGACTGGAGATTGAACCCCCAACCTTAGTGCATAGAAGATGCTCTAAGCAACTTCTAAGCCAGGGCTCATCCATTATACCTTCCCTGAGAAGTTACTGTTTGTTTATAAAAAAGCTGTTGATTTTCTTTTAAGGTGAGTTTTCCTTTTTATTGAAATACATCTTAGAGAAAACTCATGTCGTAAGGGCACTCCATGTTGTATAAAATGAAATCCCCATGTATCACCCAGTTCAAACAGGAAACATTTAAGTCTCCCAGCTTTTTTGTTAAGGTTAACTGTCAACCTGACTTCTTCCATGTTGGTTTATTTTAATGTTCTTAGTTTTTATGTTTATTTATTTTTATTGATTTCAGAGAGGAAGGGAGAGGGAGAGAAATCAATGATGAGAGAATCACTGATTGGCTGCCTTCTGCACACCCCCTTGTAGGGATCAAGTCTGCAACCCAGGCATGTGCCCTTGACTGGAATTGAACCCAGGACCCTTCAGTCCACAGGCTGACGCTCTATCCACTGAGCCAAACTGGATAGGGCTTTGTTTATTTTTCTATCACTGGCTAGTATGACTAACTTCCATTATAGCTTTCTACTGATTCCTGAGGGTTTTTTAGGCAGTCACATTAAAGGAGACAGTAAAGAGATAGTTTAATTTTTCCTTTCCAATTTTTATGTCTGCAATTGCTTTTTCTTGTCTCATGGCCACCATTGCCAATACAGTGGTAAATTATAGGGAATAGTGTATGTATTTTCTTGATCCATTCTTTTTTTTAAATATATTTTTGTTGATTTCAGAAAGGAAGAGATGAAAACATCAATGGTGAGAGAGAATCATTGGCTGCCTCCTGCAGGTCCCACACTGGGGCTTGAGCTTGTAACCCGGGCATATGCCTCACCAGGAATGGAACCCTGATCTCCTGGTTCATTGGTCAGTGCTCAACCACTGAGCAACACTGGCCTGGCTCTTGCTCCATTCTTTGGTGGCAAAACCTCTAGTATTTGTCCGTTAAGTAAAAGGCTGGCTTTCAGGCTTAAGTGTTAAACCCATTTCACAGACGAAGAAACTGAGGTGAAACAAGTCCCAAAGGTAGATTGAGATGGAAGCAAGAGCTCAAACTGTATCCTGATGTCAACCCTGCCTCCTGCCCCTACAGGAGATTGTGAACTTCAACTGCCGGAAGCTGGTGGCCTCGATGCCACTGTTTGCCAATGCTGACCCCAACTTTGTCACAGCCATGCTGACCAAACTCAAGTTCGAGGTCTTCCAGCCAGGTGACTACATCATCCGTGAAGGCACCATTGGCAAGAAGATGTACTTCATACAGCATGGCGTGGTCAGTGTGCTCACCAAGGGCAACAAGGAGATGAAGCTGTCCGATGGATCCTATTTCGGGGGTTAGTGTCTGTGGGACCAGGGAACAGGCAGTACAAAGCTGGCCCCTTCCTGGGGATGGAGGGTTATGTGGGGAGGCCTCGAGGTGTCGGCAGGAAGGACCTCTGACCAGAAGGGCCACATCAGCAGAGGGTGGGCTAGACCGTGTTCAGGGCAGCTGGGAGCACCCGAGGGATGAATGGGTGCAGCTGGGTATTGCCCAGCCCCTGAGGTGCCTCCCTTGACTATACAGAGATCTGCCTGCTAACGCGCGGCCGGCGCACAGCAAGCGTGCGAGCTGACACCTACTGCCGCCTCTACTCACTGAGTGTGGACAACTTCAACGAGGTGCTGGAGGAGTACCCCATGATGCGGCGGGCTTTCGAGACCGTTGCCATTGACCGCCTGGACCGCATCGGTGAGTGGGCCTGCGGTGGTCCTAGGAGAAACTGTGCTGAGATGGGAGGTGGCGTGGCCTAGATGACCTGCAGGAAACTTGATTCCGACCGGCTTTCTCCCCTGGTCAAACATAGCCCTGGTTTCCCAAGGAAGGAAGAGTGTGGGGTGTTGCCAGTTGTGCAGAACTCTGATGATTTGGCAAACACTTGCTGAGCACCCACTGTGTGCCAGGAGGTGTGGCTGGTGGGCCGTGAGGATGCCTCCGGTGCTGCCCTCAGGAAGCTCGTACCATAGAGGGCATGTGGGAGGGGTGGGGCTTCCTGGAGGTGCTAAGTGGGAACCAGCATTAGTAGGTGTTGCTAGGATGAGAAGGCCTGTCCTTTACACATGGATGCAGTATGTGCAAGGGCCCTGAGGTGAGAAAGAGCCTGGAGTCCAGAGAGCCAGGGAAGCTGAGAGGAGGGAGGCTGGGGAGGTAGGCAAGAACCCAGGCACACAGGGCCTAGTGGGCGGGGGGGAGACATTTGGACATAAATCAGGAGCAATAGGGAGCCACAGACAATTCTAGGCAGGGGAGGACCTGACCAAATTTGTATTCTACAGGGTAGACGGGTGGGTGGTACAGAGTAGCCTTGGGTGTAAGGTGTGTGGAGGGAATCTCAGGAATAGTTGGGATGTGGAGCCCTCAGGACGCTGCCAGCTAGAGGCAGGGATAGTGGCCCTTGCTGCTCTGTGTGGGGATAAAGACAATGGCTGAAAAGGCAGGACTGGATGGGGCAGAGAGGGGTTAGAGGGAGGACTTTTCTGTATACAGAAAGTGCTCGATACATGTGCATATATAAGACACTCAACAATTTGCTCTATATAGTAGGTATTTAACATATTTGTGACAGGTGCTTGGACTTATTTGCTATATACAGCAGGCACTCAACACATGCCTATTATATGTTACAAACTTGGCACTCTGGCTGTGAACAGGCAGGTATTCTGGGTATGTTGCTGTATACTACAGGTGCTCAATACATGATTGCTACATACAGGAAATGCTCCGTGCATGCTAGCAGTCTACATAGGTGTCTCATACCTGCTTTATGTATGCAGCAGGTGTTCTTCGCTTGCTACACACAATAGGTGCTGGATTCCTGTTTGTATATAGATCATGCATAGCCACTATACACAGGGGTTCTCAATTTTTGCTTCCTATACACAGCAGACACTTGTACCATCCCTTTGTATACAGGAGGCTTTCAAATACACACAATAGAGCAGGGGTCCTCAAACTTTTTAAACAGGGGGCCAGTTCACTGTCCCTCAGACCGTTGGAGGGCCGGACTATAGTTTAAAAAAAACTATGAACAAATTCCTACGCACACTGCACGTATCTTATTTTGAAGTAAAAAAACAAAACGGGAATACAGTATTTATATTTGCATGTGGCCTGCAGGCCGTAGTTTGAGGACCCTTGCAATAGAGAGTAGGTGCCAATACCTGCTTGTTATATGCAGGAGGCACTCAATATACTTATCACTGTATGCAGGAGGTGCTCAGTAGTGCCTGCGGTATGCTTTGCATACAGGCTATCGAGTAGGTGCCCAATACATGATGGTGGGTGTACACAGGAGGCATTCGCTATACATCTGTGTAAGTGCAGGCTGTAGAGAGTAGGTGAGAATACCTGTTGGCTGTATGCAGGAGGCCTGCAATACACACAGGTGTATGTGTACGGGCTCTAAAGAGTAGGTGCCTTACCTGCTTGCTTTATGCAGGTGTTCTGTGCCTACTGGTTGTAGTGTTGGTGCCCAATACCTGGTTGATGTATGCAGGAGGTGCTCAGTACGTGCAGCAGTATGCCTACTGGACACACCCGCTCACTGTATGCAGGAGGCGCTCCCCTGTGCACTGACAAGTCCCCTGTCCCCAGGCAAGAAGAACTCGATCCTGCTGCACAAGGTACAACACGACCTCAACTCAGGCGTGTTCAACAACCAGGAGAACGCCATCATCCAGGAGATCGTCAAGTATGATCGGGAGATGGTGCAGCAGGCTGAGCTGGGCCAGCGTGTGGGCCTCTTCCCGCCGCCTCCACCGCCGCAGGTCACCTCGGCCATTGCCACGCTGCAGCAGGCCGTGGCCATGAGC